TTGATCTTAGTAAAGCATTCGATAAAGTTCCTCATAGGCGGCTTCTAGCCAAACTAGAAGCTATATAGTTTCGTACTCCTCTTACTGACTTTATCAGATCTTATCTTTCTAATCGAAAACGAACAGTCTTAGTGGGATCCTCATACTCTACTGCTACCGCAATTTTGAGTGGTATCCTCCAAGGTACCGTGCTAGGTCCTCTGTTGTTCTTGCTTTTCATAAATGATATTTCATTGAGTGTTAAACACTCTCAATCTTATATTTATGCGGGTGATCTTAAGTGTGTTTACTCCTCTAACTCTACGGCCGCGAGATGCCTAGAACACATTAATTCAGAGTTGAACGCTCTTTCAGCGTGGAGCTCAGCATGGCAGATGGAGTTCTCACCTCCTAAGCGCCGATACATGTGCTTTGGGCCTGAAAGGCTGCCACAACATGTTATTTTTCAAGGTTGCCCAATGACTGAATGTTCGAAAATCAAGGACTTTGGTTTAAGCTGCACCAATAAATTAGATATTACTCCTCACGCCAATAAAATTACGGCCAAAGCTGCACAGATTTGCGGCTTTATTTCTTATAATTTCTATCTTCCTAAGATTAAATTAAGACTTTATCGTATGTTTCTGCTTCCCATCCTACAAAACTGTTGCCCATTCTTCGGTCTGTTGAATGAAGTTAGCCGTTCAAAAATTGAAAGCGTCCAAAAACATTTCACAAAAAACTGCTTCATCCAACATTTTCTAGCACTTCTTACTCAAATAGATGCAAACTAAGATTTCTTTGGGTCAGGAGATTGAAAGCAGGCTTTTGTCTCCTTTTTTGCCTTAATAATAGCACAAATCTCCCCAGGATTTCTGTCATTATCCCTGTCAGCCGTTCCTACAACCTAAGAAACTCGGCACTTTTCCTACCTCCTCCTGCACCTTCCTAATCTAAACGCTCTACATTTTTTGATTCCAGATATAGCTTTCTTTGGAATAACTTGCCAATTGAAATTAGGTCGTTATCTAAACTGTCCACCTTCAAGCGAAGACTGCACATTTTTCTAT